AATTTTTTTTTGATAGGCAGAGTGGACAGTGAGAAAGAGAGAGACAGAGAGAAAGGTCTTCCTTTGCCATTGATTCACCCTCCAATGGCTGCCGTGGCCGGCGCGCTGTGGCCGGCACACCGCGCTGATCCAATGGCAGGAGCCAGGTACTTATCCTGGTCTCCCATGGGGTGCAGGGCCCAAGGACTTGGGCCATCCTCCACTGCACTCCCTGGCCACAGCAGAGAGCTGGCCTGGAAGAGGGGCAACCGGGACAGAATCCGGCGCCCTGACCGGGACTAGAACCCGGTGTGAGGGCGCCGCAAGGCGGAGGATTAGCCTAGTGAGCCGCGGCGCCTGTAATTAAATATTTAAGCTTCAATTTTAGACTCCATGAGTCTTGGCTCTACTTGGGGATGTGGCTTGATTTCCTGTGCCTCAGTAACCTTATTTTTGATGGTAATAATAATTCCAAGATTTCCAGTGTATGTGAGAATTAGGAAAGATAATTAAATGCACAGTAGAAACCCAATGGTTGATTTCTTCTTCTTATTCTACCTTTGAATTTCTTTTATTCACTTATTTCCATCCTGTGTACCACAACCCTAACTTCAGACCTTATTACTTTTCCTGATATGTTGCCAGTCATCTAAGCAGTCTAACTCTTGTCTAGTCTGCTGGTCTGTCCTTTGTCTTTTGACCAAATGATATTTTTGAAACACAAATTCTACTTTGCCCTTGAATCTTTGGTCCAGCCCTTCCACATAACTTACAGTTCCCAAAATAACTGTACTGGTTCACACCTTGGAGTTTTGCTTATTCCACTTCCTAGGGTTACCTGGGGTGTTTGTGTTCTTGCCTTCTGTTTGTCCAGCAGATGGCTAGTCATCTTTAAATTTAATAATTCCACAGCAACATCTCTGGTCTCAGGTGAGTTTTGAGAACTGTGCTATTTCTCATCAAGAAATGGAGCTAATTTCCCCCTCCCTTTAAATCTAGGATCCACTAGAATGCAGTGGTAGTGATGTTGTATAGTCCTTGAATGGGGAGCATGAGGGCAGTAGGTTTTCTGCCTGGCTTTCTTTCCTTCTTAGAACACTTGTCCTTGAATGAAAGCAACAAACTCTGAAGTGGTTGAGTTTGTGGAGAGAGAAAATAGGAGAGCCTGACATGGAGAATCTCTTTGCCCTCAATCATCAGCTGCTGCCTGGTGTTCCACATATATGAGGGTATTTCAAAGGTTCATGGAAAAAAAGGGAATTGAAAGCTAATTTCATTTTGGTGCAAAATTTTTTGAAATCCAAGCACAATTTTTTCATCATATGCATTTTCCACAAACTTTAGGAAGACTCCTTTAACTCTTTTTGCACCCAAATAAAGTTATCTAATTATACTTTTCACAAACATTTTGAAGCACTCATCTATTCATATATGGTGTATGTGTATATATCTATATAAACACATACACATATACATATATATGTGTATATATATATCTGCATATATAGAGAGACCATGGAAAGTATCCTGTTAGATTTTTTTATTTTCAAAGATTTAAAGTCAGAGTTTCAGAGAGATAGGGAGAGAGGGGAGAGTGGTGGAGAGAGAGAGAATATCTTTCATCTGCTAGTTCACTTCCCAAATGGCTGCAACAGTCAGAATTGGACAAGCCTAAGGCCGTGAGCCAGGAACTCCACCCTGATCTCTTCCACGTGGGTGGCAGGCCCCCAGTACTCAAATCATTTTCTGCTGCCTTTCCAGGTGCATTAACAGTAAGCTGGATTGGAAGCAGGACTCAAACTGGCACTCCAATATGGGATGATGGCATCACAAGTGGCAGCTTAACCCTCTGCACCACAATGCTGGCCCCTGGATAGACTTTCTAATGTGAAAATTCATTTACTATTTGGCATGACTCAGAAGAGAACGCTTGAATGAGAGAATCCCTTTGAATTTTTCCACCTGCTTATCTAGTCAGTGAAGTTCATGGCCATTTATACATTCAAGCCTCTTTGTAATTTAAACCCTTTTTTGTGTGTTGCATATGGCAGTCTGGGCTGGCCGTCTGGGATGTGACTCCTACCTCAAGAGTAATGATAAAGTTTCTAACACTCAGTGTCGTTGTGGGAAGCAGACTGTTGTTGAAGTGTTATTATTAATGAGAATTACTGCTGGACAGCTTGAACTAGAGGATAATTTATTCCCCGTGAACTTCTAATTGCAGTGAAATGGTTCATTCACTGCCACACTTGTCCATCTTATTTGTTCCTGTCTTTCAGGCATGGTTGGCTGCAATGAAATAAGGCAGAACTGCTCAAGCTGCATGAGAAACAAAAGTCTGCCTTTCTGGGGACACAGTAGAAACTGATCAGAAAGAGGTAACTTGTGCAAGATAGGCATGGGAAAATGGAAAAAAGCAATCTGTCATGCTTAATGAGTAATAATTAATTCATATGAATCAAGGCACCTACTATGTGTGAGGCTTTATGCCAAAATGGGAGACCAGTGTTTCCAGATGGCCACACACTACTCTCACTTTTGAAGCTTGCACGTCCCCTCCAGCATTTCTGATAGAGAGCTTTGTCCTTTATTTTAAAATTCAGCATGTCCTCTCCACTCTCTTCTCATTTTGCTTCAATAGATTGCTTTGGGGAAATGAACTCTCTATGTTGTGATAACATGCATGTATTCTTGATGTTACCTTTGATGGTGTGGCTCCTTCCCCCTGATTTTTACCAAATTTCTGCTTCCCATTGATTCTGTTCTCTGCCATCTTTTATCATTGGTAGAATTGTTGCCATGCTTTTTGTGTAAATATCATTAAATGTGCCTCTGACTTGCAGCTACCATGGTAATAGACACTTGTGACTGGCTATTGACTCATTACTGTATTTATATGAGAGTTGGTCACTTATGGTTTAGCAGGCTTAAGGAACAACTTGATTCCAAGCCAGTGAATGGATTCAAACTTGCCTGATAGGTTAGAGTTTGACTGTTATTATTATTTAACAGTTAGTAAAGTCTCTGAATGGACTAGTGACAGTATGTCCATCACCTGGGGAAATGATGCTGGCTGTCAAAGGGCATCTATTCTACTGTGGTTGACCTTAGTTGGTTATAGCACAAGTTATGGGGTGGGGGGTCTTATCATTGGTAGTCTTGATTATCTTTGATAATTTTACACCCACTGGACAACAGGGATGGAGGAATCCCAGAGAATGTCTTTGTAGATGCTGAGAAAGTAGAGAGCCTTGATGATCTCCCTTTTCAATATATATAGAAAATAAATATGACAATTATTAAATTGATATACCCACTCACGGTCTGAAATTCTTCCCTTAGAGTCATGTCTTTGAGTGCAAGCAAGAGAGAGTAATTAATCATAAAGGAGAGAGGAGCACAGTCTAGGTGTGTTGAGAATCGTTCATTTCTATTTTTAAAATTATTTATTTATTTATTTATTTGACAGGGGTAGTTTCAGAGAGAGACAGGGAGAGATAGAGAGATCTTCCATCCACTGGTTTATTACTCCCTAAATGGCTGCAATGGTCAAGACTAGGCCAGGTTGAATCCAGGAGCCTAGAACTCCATCTGGGTCTCTTTCATGGGTGGCAGGAGCCCATGTACTTGGGCCATCTTCCACTGTTTTTCCCGTTAGCAGAGAGCTGGATAGAAAATGGGGCAGCCTAATTCAAACTGGTGCTCAAATGGGATGTTGGCATTGCAGGTGGCATCTTAACCTATTGGGCCATAACTCTAGCCCTGAAAATCAGTCATTTCAATCTAGTAATTACTGGTGGAAGTCTCATGTGCTTGGTGTTGAGCTAGAGAAGGATTGAACTCCATTGGGCTAAGGCATGGTCCTCCTTGGAATTCTCCTGAGATTATATAAGAACTTATTGTAGATGACAGCTACACTGGGAGGCCATTATGTGAAGAGGGCTAGAGCCCAAATTTTGTAGCCAGACTCTGCTCTTGACTCTGAATATCCTGCCTGTATAACCTTTAGAAAGTTGTTAATTCATATATGCTTTGTGTTTCTTATCTGTAAAATTGGGTTAACCCTTGCACTTACAAGTTTACTGTGATGGTTAAATGAGCTAATATCCCTCAAACCACTTGGAACATCATCTTAGCAAGTACTAGAGGAGTCTTCACAATTAATACTTTCCAGGATAAATATGTTTTCTCAAATTACTTTTTCCTAAGGCAGTTTGGAATTGATGGTAGCTCATCTAGGTTGTTTTGATGAAAGTAGAAGGAAAGGGCACTTTTCAGCTTGACACCCACTCCCCAATGTGATTAGGTTGGATGGGTCTTTTCAGTGGGGTGCTTTTGAGAGTCCAAGGCCACACAAGGACAGTATCAAGCTCTTTAAGGAGAACCAAACCAAGGGAGAACAAAGAGAGAGATGCTTGGTTTTCATTAACTAGCCATTTTGTCAGGGTGTTGTATCCTGACGATCTTTTTTGTCAATCTTTTTCCCTTTTGATTGATATAGACAATAGACAATGTTTCATGTAAGTGGTTGGGGATAATCCAGTACTGTGACTTTGTAAGTGTTCATAGAAGGAGTCGACACTTTAGAAAGGCTTGAGTCCTGTCTGTGGCACCTTCTATGTATGTAACTTTTGATAAATCATATAATGTCTGAGTTGCAATTTTTCATTTGCCATGTTTAAATGTGCCTACCTCCCAGAGTGGTGGTGCTAATCCAATGTGCTAATATGTGCGACAGCGACTTGTAAACTGTAAAGGGTGACATAGATTTGAGTTGTTATTATTAGTGGTTCTTTCAATTTCCCTGCTTTCTACAAGCAGACCTGCATTTTAGCAGCACCTGTGTGCTGTCATCACTTAGTGGTAGATTTTATTTGAGGGCTTTCCGCATGTGTCTGTGACTGGTAATTGTATGCTGTCTTGTCTTGCAGTGAAAGCAGAATAAGCCTTTTACCAGACTGGCTCAAGGTACCAATGTGGAAGCTCTGTTACCCATAGAATAAGGAATCCTGACAGTTTTTTCAGAAAGGGTTATTCTCTCTTCTTCAATTTGTAAACCAACTATTCATAGGAAAACTGTTGGAAACACGAGCTGTTATTTGTTGATATGGTTACTCTGATAGTTGATAAAAAAAAAAAAAAAACACTTTCAGAAACAAAGAGAATTAGAGGTTGGCCAGGGTAGAATGAGTGCCATAAATCAAGATTACCTGAAAGGTATATGAGAGATAAGAGAGTAAGCAGAGTAAGGAGATAACAAGGGGAAAATATCCACAGAGCTTGAAAAAGTCCACCAACTTCAGGAGCAGATCTCTCAGTGTTATTTTGTGCTATTAAAAAAGTCATTCTGATGGAAACACTTTCACTCATATACGAGAGCATTCCTAAGAAAATAGAATTCTCATATGTATACAGACGCAATGCAGTGACGTTTGGCCGCATTGGATTGAAGTGCTCCAAGAGAAGAAAGGAGAAAGGAAAGAGCTGTTACAGTTGTGGATGGGATCAGATGGGGTCAAACCTGTGCTCTGTGGGTCCTGGAAAACATTTTCAAATACCTTGCCTTGCAGGTGTCAATCATAAGCACAAATAGAGACCAAAGGTGCTTCTTAGGGAAGGCTTCATTTTTCCAACCTTTCACCAACACTGAAAAATGGAGCAAATGACTGGCTGGGGACAGATCCTTGGCACCAAGTGGCTGGAGTTAACGGAACACTGCAGGGACACAGAACTTGGCCCCCCACGGAGCATATTACAGGAGCAATGCAGTACAGAACCCAGCAGGCTTCTGCAAACGACGCATCCCTTTAAGTTAATTGGTGTTATATAGAAGCTGAAATGCTCCGCTTATTTACAAAGCTACAGATTTATGTAAAGCAAAACCAATTACACTTAATGCCTAAACTATTCCAGGTGCTCAATGATAATGTTGCTAGGCACTAGAGAAGAAACTGCTGTGTGAATGCATCCTGTTCCGAATGGAAGCATGTGTAGTTCACTGCAATTTAGCCTAATCACAAGTGTCAACCCCAATGTGAGAGTTTTAAGCTCTTTTGGTGCTTGCTTTGGGTCAACTTTATAATTCTGTAGATCTTTTATCTCAAAGGAAGAGTGAAAACATAATGAGCGTCATTCCCTATTCTAATGTAGAAATTAAGGAGATGAAGGCAAATTTGGGGGTGGAAACAAGAGAATCAGGCAGATCCTTTTTATAACAGTGAGAGAGACTTAGAGTTTGCCGCTTGTACTGAGGTGAGGTGTTTAGAGATTTTGTGATCTTTTGGGTGTTCATTAAACCCAAATTGCAAACTTGGCATTTAACCTTTTGCAACAAGCAAAGCTTCCAAGGTCGTTTAGGAGCCTGCCTCACTGTTTTGCCACTGAACAAAGGCTAAACAAAGAAGGGTTTGGAAAAGTTGCAAGGCAAGACGTTATGCCTAAAGAGCTAGTCTTTTCACTTGTCCTCAAAATAAACAAGCAAATGAAAAATAGTTTGAATAAGAGAAACACCTGGAGTTTTACAGCTGCTGTTTTGCAATTAAAATGCGTACCATGCCTAATCAAGTTGAATAAATCTTTTATTTTACAGATCTAAAATATTTTATGTGTACAAAGGGAGGTGTTTAATTGCAAGATCATTTGCAATCAGGTGATAATCCCACCAATCCTATGCAGCAGAAACTGTTCTGCAAAGCAGTGGTTCTCAAACTTCAGAGAGCATAAGAATGATTTTTGTGTATTTGTTAAAATCATCTTATTCCTGGACCACAATCTGGAAGAAGATTTGGGTCACTGCAGTCTGTGTAGGGGCCAGAAAGACTCACCTGTAGCAAGTGGTTCTCAACCACACTTTGGCAAACACTGAGACAAAGGTCTGTGATATTGGACTTATTCATTGAAAAGAAGAGTTTCTAGATTTCTTTGCTTATAAAGGAAGAAACTTTTTTTTTTTTTTTTAATTTGACAGGTAGAGTTAGAGACAGTGAGAGAGACAGAGAAAAAGTCTTCCTTCCGTTGGTTCACTCCCCAATTGGCTGCTACGGCCGGAGCTGCACTGGCCAGGAGCCAGGTGCTTCTTCCTGGTCTCCCATGTGGGTGCAGGGGCCCAAGCTCTTGGGCCATCCTCCACTGCCTTCCCAGGCCACAGCAGAGAGCTGGACTGGAAGAGGAACAACCTGGACTAGAACCTGGCGCCCACATGGGATGCTGGCGCTGCAGGCAGAGGATTAACCAAGTGAGCCACGGCGCCGGCCCCAGGAAGAAACTTTTTGAAGGTGATTTTTCTGAGTACATGGATAGGTAGTAGTGAAGACTAAAAAGTATCATTTGGGTTAGGAAATCCCTTCTAGAAACTATTTGATTCTGTCACTTTCCCTCCTCTCAACTTTACCTTCCCTGATTTCCTTCTTTCCTCTACTCACAATAATTCCATGATTTATGTTTATTTTCCAACTTCTTCAGTATGCAGATGTTCTGTCTTGGTTAACATTACTTTTGAATTCAGAGAAAATTTCCGTAATCAAATCAGGTCTTGATAGTGTCATATGAAGATCAAATACAGCAAAATCATATGTTTATTATTTATGCAGAATATTGACAGCATATGGTCACGATGCTGGGCCTGTTGTAAAGGTTCAATAAATATATTAAAAGAAAGAATATTAACATACTGTTATTTTGCTTTTAATGACTCATTAAAGCTCTAAAACATAGCTTAATGTTGCTTTTAATGGCCAATATATTGTAAAAAAATTGTAAAATATTATTGGGGTATAGGAAATTGACAATTTCTTGTCATAGAGTAATCGCCCAGACTCTGCAAATGCTTTATTAACTCTAATGCATATCATGTTAAGTGGGAAAGCATAATAGTTTACAAGAAGGGTCATAATTGGTCTTTGTAAATAAAATACACATACAATCTTCACAAAGCCACTCCTAGATATATTGACTCTTATACTAAAATGCATAGTGTTTGAGAAGAAAACAATGAGCACTGTGCTCAGAAGACAGGCACAGTCAAGTTCAGTTTCATAGGGCTGTCTCGCAGAGATCAATACTTGCAGAGAATTCCTGCAGACTGCCATAAAGTTTCAGAGACTTCTCATGGAGGAGAAGTGTTTCTTCAAGATTACTTCCACGGATGTTCTGGGCATTAAAATGATTTAGATTACAATATCTAAAAAAGAAAGAAAGAAAGATTTTCTTAGGACCAGATGTAGATGAACTGATAAATCATTTGCTTTCCTCCTGTGCTTGTCTACCTTTTATGATGGGCTCATAGATACTGGCGCAACAGTGATGGTTATTTAAGAGCGCTGCTCACCAGGGCAGTCTGTACAACTGGACAAAGGGTTTTAGGACATATTAAGGTGTTTCATAAGGACCTTTAGAGGGTGCTCTTTTAAAACTTGCAGAGACTGTCATTTCCTTCCTTCCCTCCCTCCCTCCCTCCCTCCCTCCTTTCTTTCTTTCTTTCTTTCTTTCTTTCTTTCTTTCTTTCTTTCTTTCTTTCTTTCTTTCTTTCAGCTCCCTCACCCACGGGATCACTTTCCAGGTGTCTGCCACAACCACAGCTGGACCAGGCTGAATGAAACCAGGAGATAGGGAATTCAGTTCAGGTCTCCCACTTGGATAGTAGGAACCCTAGTACTTGAGCCTTCACCTGCTGCCTCCCTGGGGTGTGCATCAAAAAGAGGAGCCAGCACTGGAACCCAGGTGCTCCACTATGGTATGCAGGTGACCCAAACAACATCTTTTTTTTTTTTTTTTTTTTTTAATCTTTTATTTAATGAATATAAATTTCCAAAGTACGACTCATGTGTTACAATGGCTTCCCCCCCATACCGTCCCTCCCACCCACAACCCTCCCCTTTCCCACTCCCTCTCCCCTTCCATTCACATCAAGATTCATTTTCGATTATCTTAATATACAGAAGATCAGCTTAGTATACCTTAAGTAAGTATTTCAACAGTTTGCTCCCACACAGAAACATAAAGTGAAAAATAATAGATAATTTTTTTTAAATGATGATGAAATCAGATCAGACCTATTGTCATGTTTAATCCCAGTGAGAGTCAAGTTGGGAATTGATAATTTCTTTCTTTTCTTTTTTTTTTTTTTTTTTTTTTACAGAAGATCAGTTTAGTGTACATTAAGTAAAGATTTCAGTCGTTTGCACCCCCATAGAAACACAAAGTGAAATATACTGTTTGAGTACTTGTTATAGCATTAAGCCTCAGTGTACAGCACATTAAGGACAGAGATCCTACATGAGGAGTAAGTGCACAGTGACTCCTGTTGTTGACTTTACCAATTGACACTCCTGTTTATGGCATCAGTAATCTCCCTATGCACCAGTTATGAGTTTCCAAGGCTATGGAAGCCCCTTGAGTTCTCCGACTCTTATCTTGTTTAGACACGGTCATAGTCAAAGTGGAGGTTCTCTCCTCCCTTCAGAGAAAGGCACCTCCCTCTTTGAAGACCTGTTCTTTCCACTGGGATCTCACTCACAGAGATCTTTTTGCCAGAGTGTCTTGGCTTTCCATGCCTGAAATACTCTCATGGGCTTTTCAGCCAGATCCGAGTGCCTTTAGGGTTGATTCTGAGGCCAGAGTGCTATTTAGGACATCCGCCATTCTATGAGTCTGCTGAGTATCTCACTTCCCATGTTGGATCACTCTCCCCTTTATTTATTCTATCGGTTGGTGTTAGCAGATACTAGACTTGTTTATGTGCTCCCTTTGACTCTTAGTCCTTTCATTATGATCAATTGTGAACTGAAATTGATCACTTGCAGTAGTGAGATGGCATTGGCACATGCCATCTTAATTGTTATGCCAATGCCTGCTCTGTGGATCTCTGCTGACAGTGAGAGGCTATGGAAAGTCATAAACTTTATTGACTTCACAGAGTTCATGGCAGATGGGACTCCCAACAGGGTATGTGATGCCCCAGGGATTTTTAATTTGGTGCTGAGACTAAGTGGAAAACATTGTGGAAGAATCCCGGAATATATTTCTGGAATGCACACTGTCCAGCCTTGATCTCCTTACAAAATAGCACCTTTTCTGAGTGTCTTCTAGGTACCAGGCACCATGCTGGGATAGGGATGGAATCTTCTCCATTTCATAGACTGGGAAGTAGAGGTTCCAAGAGGTTAAATAGCTTGCTTAGTGCTAATATAAATAGTAGTTAGAAGATCATGTTTGGAATGAGAACTCAATCATTCTGAATCCTGGCTTTTTCCTTCTATGGCTTGCTGACTCCAAAGTTAAATTATTTTCTTAAACACTTTTGGATAAGCTCTGGGAGGGTAGGAATTTGAGAATACTTTATTCACTGTTGTATTCCCAGTACCCAGATCAGTGTCTGATACATAGCAGTTGTTCAATAAATACCTGCAGAATGAGCAAATAAATATGGGCTACAAGTTCAGTTTTATCAAATACACATGAGTTTGTGTGGTCCGACATTTGTTGTTGATTTGTGAAGGTTTCAAAAATTAATTTTACCTTGTTTTCCTTCTCAATATATTGTTCAAAGCAGCTGTAAGAAAATGAATACTGCCTGAATAACTCCAGTCGTTTGTCTCTGATTTATGTCACTTTCAATAATTGTTACAGTTTATGCACAAAAGATTACTGGTATCATTGAAAAAATAAGTTCTATGACATCAACTTTATAAGATGTGTTTTACTACACTGGAGGAACAGTAATATTGTAAAAACAGTCTTGCCTGAAACATTTGTAACTTCTTTATCTTTTAGCATCCAGTGTGGGATTCATATTTCTATTAAGCAGTTTATATGTGTTTCCCTAAGACTTTCCAGCAAGAAGAAGGCATTTTATCTGCCTACTTCTTTCATCCCCAAGCTGGAGAGCTTTGAGTATGGCATGCCACTATTGCACTGTTTCAGATTTTTTTTTTATAATTTATTCAAGTACTTGAGCTGTCACCTGCTGCTTTCCAGGGTTTGTATTAGCAGGAAACTGAATGAGAAGCACAGCAGCGGGGACTTGAATCAAGCACTCTGTTATGGGATGTGGGTGTCCCAAGTGGTGATTTAGTCACCGCTCCACACCCTCATTCCAATTTCAGATTTGATATGGGAGGACTACAATAGAGAGAGAATTTGGGGCTGATTGTTCTGTAAACTTGAGAGGTAAGTCTGGCCTGACATGAGTAATTCTGAATTACTCTGCTGGAGATTTGATGTGATATTCTAGTTATTATGACAGGATTGATTTCTTTGGTTCTAGGATTTACACTTATATTGTAGCATATTAATATGAGGGTACTTAAAATGCTAATGGAAAACAGAAATAAAGGATGTTATTTTGGGGCAAAAAAACCCTCTAACTCCTTACATAAGGAAGATCTTTAAAAAAGTTCATGGAAACTGTGTTTATGGAAACATTTCATGGATTTCAAAAATTTTTGGCATCAAAATAAGCATCTTTTAATTACATTTTCCATGATATTTTGGAAGTACTTTCATATTTAAGCTTGATGGTGAGGGTGCCTTTGGCTGCTATTACAGACCTAATATTACTTGGATGTTGGTGAGTTTCTATCGTAATTAATCCACTTTCCTCAAGATTTTGGAAACAAATATAATTCAAGACTGTCCTATTCTTGATAGATTTGCCACCGTTACCTGGCACTGAAATCAAAGGGTTGATAAAAGTTGGACTATTATTGAATGTGTACTGAGATAAAATGCTATTTGACTTATTAAAAATACATTTCAACAATGCTGTCCTTGGGTCTGTGGTGCTTTGTTCTGTTTCTTTGCACACTTACAAGTATTACTCATTAGTGTTTGAAAATAGCAAACACTATAGAAATAAATCTGAATTATGTGTTCCTTAGTTCTGATGCTGATTTAGTCCCTTAGATGCCAGAATTCTTTTTTGTCTTAATCTTCTGACTTGGCCTGTCCCCAGTGCCCATGAGTCCCGAAGGCTACATGTTCCTTTGCAATCATGTAGTTGGTTCTAGCTACTGAATCTCTAGAAGCAAATGTTCCAGACTCTTTTTTTTTTTTAATTTGTGACATTCGTCTCTTCCTGTGTGTTGCTTATCAATGAGTGGCACCAAGCATGATTACTTTAGCTGAGGAGTCTAATTTTCTTCCCACTTACCAAACCTAGGGATTGTTAGAAAGAAAGTACAGGGTTCTTCCATAGCATTTATAAGCAGCACAGTATAGGAGCAGATGAGCATGGACTTAAAAGACAAATAAATATGGATTGGAATCCCAGTTGCATGAACTTGGTCAATTTATTTAACTAGCCTTGTACTTTAGTGTTCTTATTTATAAAGTGGAGTGATCATATGTAAGAGGGAGGTGGTGGAGATTAAGTGAGGTTGTTTCTGTGTGTAGCATACTGACCAATACATAGAGGGTATGCAACATGAGAAATTGGTTCTTTTCCTACCTGATTTCTTTCTCTCTGCCTCTCTTTATTCCTTTCCTAAAAAGTATGCAGGAGAGAAGAAAGTGGAAAGGTTAAGGAGAAAATGTGAAAAGAATCAGATTTATTTCTGAATCAATTCTGTTATTTCATCCCTGTTGTTTTCCTAGTTTAAATGAAGCTTTAAAATAATGAGATTGGCTTTAGGGAAGTTAAATAAGTGAAGGATTAATTTGATAACATATACTTTGGATGGTAATAAATGTAAAAATCCAGGAATCTGTGAAGGCTTTAATTTTGTCATCCATTCTAACCAGCATGGATTCGAGAGGTCTCTCTCATACTGGAGCATTGGTCCATGCCAGCAGGAGCACCAATGGCAGTAAACCTTCACTGACTTTACTGACTGTGCATCCCTCTGATTTACTGTGCTGCCCATGGCATGGCTGATGTTCCAGTAGAGACTGATTAGATGAATAAGAGAATGCTTTAGGCAAAGGGGAAGTGAAAATGAATGGGACAATTCATGACTAAACAATTAAATAGGTAAATAGGTGGAGGACATGAAGAAAAATGAACATCTATTTAGTTCCTGCTGTGTAGTAAGAGACATTGTGCTTGCTCTTTATCCAAATCCATCCCCCTTAAGTCCATAAAAAGTTAGTTCAAGGGTATTTCATAATGTTCATGGGAAAATGCAATCAGAAATAACGTTATTTTCGTGCAAAAAGATTTTGAGATCCTTGCATAGGTTTGTTTCATAATATGCATTTTCCATGAACTTACTGAAGATCCCTTGTGTTATTGTCCTTATTTTAAATATATAACAGTATAGGCTCAGAGAGTTTAGAACATTTGCTTAAATGTGCACAGTCATCCAAGACTATGTCAATAAGAGACAGAGAGGGAAAGAGAAAGAGAAAGAGAGATGGGTGGCAATGGATGGATGGTAGATGTGCATATTAAGCCACTGAATGGTCTCAAGTGACTGACTAAGAGATTTTTCACAGTTTGCTATTGACCTTGAAATGGTCACTGCTGATTTAAAGCTCCAAATGTGATCCAAATCTCAAGCATCATTAGATTCCTAGCTATTTGTTTAATGATATTTGCTTTTTAATGGTAGTGACTCATTCATTCTTATTATCAATCTGGTTATTTCTAATTCCAAAGTGTAGTGAAGAAAAAAAAATTTGCTTTAGGACACATTGTGGAGTTGAGTGAAGCACTATTGTATTAGGAGGATCATTTGGAAAGTGAAATCTAAATTGAAATTTCTGGCTGTGAATAATCTGTTAAACTTCTGCACTGTGCTAATTTTTCCAGTCATGGCATGCTGGATTCCTGTTGACTCAGTGATGGTTTATACCAGTATATTTCAGAGACTTGGAAATTTTTTATCTTCCACAAACTTACATACCTTTGTGAAACACTCCGGAATCCCAGGACGTTCAGCAACGTTAATGATGCCAGTAGGAAAAAGAAGCTTTCTAAATTGCCTTTGTTTAATGTGTTTGGAAACCAATTGCCTGTTTGGAACAAATGTAATTGTTATTCAACTGCAGAGTTGCAAGTTTCTGTGAATATTTTATTATTCCACAATTCATAGAGCTTTATTCACTTCAATAATACCCACTAAGCAAAAAAGCTCATCTAGAACTTCATTGTCAAAACTCATTTAATTCTATAATTACTAATAAAATGATAAGCAAAGCACCCCAAATATTTTGGAGATTAAAAACACTTTCTTTGTATAATGTAGGCATGAGAAGAAATGGATTGTAAAAGTAATCTTGCTTATGATGTTCATTTGGAGGAACTGTGTGTTGTTTATCCTCATATTTCTTTTTTTAATTTCTTTTTATTTATTTATTTGACAGATAGAGTTAGATAGTGTGTGTGAGAGAGAGAGAGAGTGAGAGAGAGAAAGGTCTTCCTTCCGTTGGTTCACTCCCCAAATGGCCACTATGGCCGGCGTGCTGTGCCCATCCGAAGCCAGGAGTCAGGTGCTTCCTCCTGGTCTCCCATGGGGTGCAGGGCCCAAGCACTTGGGCCATCCTCCACTGCACTCCCGGGCCACAGCAGAGAGCTGGACTAGAAGAGGAGCAACCTGGACTAGAACCCGGTGCCCATATGGGATGCCGGCGCTGCAAGCAGAGGATTAACCAAGTGAGCCACGGCGCCAGCCCCCAGGAGAAATATCCTCATATTTCTATCATCTAGAGCAGCACCTGGCATGTAGGGATTGTTTGGCAACTATGTGTTGAATAAGTGGAAAGCATTGCCATGATGAGATGGTAGTGTGGTGAGAGAGATAATATATAGAGATGATAGATGTTACATTATTTTCACAACTTAGATATTATTTTATATTAATATCACAAGTCCTACTGGTCAAATTATTTGCAATCTCTGGTTTACATGCAGTTTTTCTTTTGATTGGATGGGTAATCCTTCAATTTAATAATCTCGAATAAAGGACCCCATTTCCTTTGAACGTCAACTGAGTATATATGAAACTATTCAGGATTCCAAGCAATTGCTTCAATTTGCTCCTAAGTTTAGACTTTACTTTGAATCTTTTCTGCAACTCTCTTGCCATACTTATATCTGTACTCAAATCTGTATCTTTACACACACTCAATTTTCTTCAGTGGGTTTTGAGGCATTATTGTTGAATATATTACATAAAGTATAATATATGTTTTATATGCACATTTACTTTTAGGTAGTAATTTAAAAACAGAAATAGAATCTAATATTACCAAATACATTACAGATACATAGTGTTGCAGAATTTTAAAAGGGGAAATTTATAACTTTATTTTTTACAGAAAGAATGTAATTCAGTCGTTGTTCTGGATGGGTAAAATATTTCTAAAAAGTGTTGTGTCTTCTGAAAATAGAAACCAGTTGTCTTTGAACATTCAAATGCCAGGGTGTTGGCATTACCTGGCTTTTTTAAAAGGACATTTCCAACAATATGTGAGGAAAGGAAGTGTGGGATCAGTGCAATCTGTATTTGGGCCGATAGAGTTGATCTTCAGTGCTGTTGGCAACAGGTTGTGAGTTACTTCCAGAACTGGAAAATGGTTCTTGGGCTTTCTCCTGACAATGCATTCTTTTAAGTGGGATTTGAATTAAATGCTGTATTCAAGCTTGATTGTCAGCAAGTGCCTCAGTATGACAGCTGTGATTAATTGTGCCATTGCCCATGGAAAACTCCTTGTCTGCTGTCATTTAACTTCCCAATGACCATTATTAGGGATCAACCATGAAAATTAGCTATGTCCATTACAGTCTGGGACCTATAAATGGAAGCTGGTACTGAGTCTAAAGCTATTTTGTAAGTTTCACTTCCCTATTTTATTAATCTGTGTTCTCTTCCAGTGGAAATTTATGGTCTTATGGCTACCTTCACCTAGAGTTTAGATGAGTAGTTTAACTCAGTGTTTCCCTATGTCTGTTTTTATGTTGCATATGGTATCTTAATGTGTGTGTTTCTATGTGTATGTGAAGAAAACACATGCTTGGAATTGAATTGGAGGAAATGGGGGAGAAGTCAACATAAGGTGACAAACCTCCCACTTGTTTTTGGGAAGAACTAGACCATACGGCTAAGCCTATTCAAGCAGTCCTATTTTCTTTTTTCTCCTGAATTAATATCCCAGTCGTATTTCTGTCCTTTTCATTTCACATCAGCACTTTGCATGTCATGCGATTATACCATTTTATCACCCGGTTCTCTTGCCAGAGTAAGAGGAGTGTGCATGGAGTATGTGAAGCCTCAGAATTAACATGACATTAATTCTTCTTGGAGCATGAATTTTGGCCCGTAATCAGTAATTGAAAGGACTACCTTTATATTCTAACAAAGTCAGATGAGGGGGAAGAATATAAATTTTGTAAGATCTTTAAATGTAAAACATAATATTTCTAAGAAATTGTGCAATTACAGCAAATACCAGCCTTCAGGAGACAGAACCAGATCCCCTGAGCATGCCAGCACACTTGCATCTGTCACTGCGGATACCATGGTGGGCACAAATGAGAAGCAGTGTGACTCGGCATATGAAGGTGTGGGGTGACGGCTCAGGAGGATATAATAGAAAGGTTAGAGAAAGGTAGTAGAAATTTGCAGAGATACACAAAACATTCTTGGAGTGCAGTTATTTTAAAAATCAAATGAGAGATCACCATAGCACCTATTCAAGCTCCCGGTAATTTTCTTATATTCCTTCTTAAATATCATTTTCAGTGTTAATCTTTCTACCCAATGCCAATCTTCCTCTTATTCTCATATTTCTATCTTATTTAACAGCATCTGAGTTTTTAGCATGAGGAAAATACTAGTATGAAATTTGACAGAAATTCTTCATGAATTGGAATTTGCTTTATTTATATACAGATTGTATAAAGATATAGCATTGTGTATAACAAGATGTTAGACATTGGAAATACTTTTGACTTCAAATCTTACCTCTATTATTTAACAGTTTTGTTATTGGGCAAATAACTGAGCCACTTGAGCCTCAGTTTCTCTTCTCGAAAATGATGACAACAATAATTCCGTCACTGGGAGTAGAAAAGAGAATGGCTTTCAAGTGTTGGACACAGCGGAAGCACTCCACAAACACTACATGATCACTCCCCTTTAGAGATAACTCACAAAATCACCTAGCCTGAGGTTGATCTTGGGCCCATTTCCTGTCAGGTATTTCTTCATGCTCTGTGTGCCATTTTTTAAATCATTATCCCAGGACTGGTTATAAAATGTTCCATTTAACATTGTCAGTTGACTCAGCTCTTAGGTACTATAACTTTATTTTAGTAGCTTATAAACTTTTATTGTCGTAATTCACATTTGTGCCATTTTTCATCTGACATTTCTAGTAGGGGCATCCTTGCAAAAGGAGACAAAGTGAAGGCATTAGGTCTGCAATGAGCCTAACTAAACTTCCTAGATCTCAGCTTATGTGGACAGGAAGGTTAACAACGTGAGAAAGAACATGTCACATAAAGAGTTTGGGGTCATTCATTATGTGCCATTCTTTAATGCCCATGGTGAAGCCTAGTCAGATACTTTGATAGCTTAACCAGCTAGTTAATAATGAGTACTAGGCTGTGGAGAACAGAGCACTCACAAATATTTGGCATTTTCCAGAATTCCCCCAAATATCTCTTGCTCAGCTAAATTTCTTTATTTATTTGATAAAAATCATTTTTAAAGAAATTTTCGTGTGTCAGGAAATGAGAATGCCAAGCTACTTAAGAAAGGGAGTTCATAGATGAGTATGGGACATGCAAATAGTAATTACTTTAGAGTGTTAGATACCTTATAGATATGAAACAAAGTATTTCTAATTATCTTAAATTATCATGATCAGTTTTTAGAGACCAAAGGACTTTAGACTCCCCTAGACCAGCTTTTATTCTGCAGACTAAACAGTGTAAGCACAGAGGGGTAGAGCGAAGCATCACTCAGTAGAACCTTCATCTTCTTACTCTTACAACAAATGTTCCCTCTATAGCCCACCTGTGGGTGCTAATGGACCCATCACTTTTATGACTTAATGACTTCTCAACAGTTCAAGAATGTCTTTGAAATAGCTTACCCAAAGTCCTTCTGAAATACCTAACATAACATCTCTCCTGAAATCCTGGCAGTGACATCCAACCCACTGTGAGAATCTTGGAGTAATTTACAATAAATTGAAGGCTTTTAAAACAGTCCTGAGAACCATATCCTCATATATGGTGACACACGTGGGTGATGATAGTATAAAAAGCACAAAGTTGCTAATGCGAAAGGGAAAGATATCTTATTTATTTCCGATCTTATGCCCTATACTGTGCAACACAAATTTCGTGTGCAGCCTTGGTATCTCTAAGCCTCCTAGGGCTCCAAAGGCCTAACTCCGTGCTTCCCTGTTCTCACTAGAAATGTTGCCCACCCAGAGGGAGAGCCTCCTCACCTGACCATTTCCCCTACCACTTAGACCAGCTGTGCTTTACCCAGATATAGACCCAATGGGTTTAACTTCCATGTATCACTCAAGGTTACTGAAATCAAGCACATCCTCCTGAAGGAACCAGGGGCACCACACCCCTTTGTGACTATGAAGGCTGCCACTTAGAAAACCTACTTCTTCAAGCCGTTCCTTTTTGCAATGTCCATAGCCCCACATGGCATGCTGAATCTCCGCCTTTTCCAGGCTGTGAGCATACGTGACTGATAAGCTGCTATCAGTCTCATCTGTGCCAGATGCATATTTTCAGCCATCTTCTACTATTTAGAGTGAAGGGGTTACTCCACCACCAATGGGATAGGTAGGCGATGATCAGAACACCACTCAAAGTATAAACCATAGAGAGGGGCTGGCACTGTGCACAGCAGGTTAACACCCTGGCCTGAAGCACTGGCATCCCATATGGGCACTGGTTCCAGTCCTGGCTGCTCCACTTCCAATCCAGCTCTTTGCTATGGCTTGGGAAAGCAGTGGAAGATGGCCCAAGTGCTTGGGCCCCT